AATTTATTTTCTAGTTTAATTATTATTAAATAAAAATCATTAATTATTATTGTTATGCAATAGTAATGAGCTAATAATTTGTTAATTATTAACTATTAATTATATCTATTTACTTTAATAAATTCTTAATTATTAATTTACTATAAAAAGTAATTAATAAATAATAAATATTTTAAATGAATATTATATGATTATTATTTATGAGCAAGGAATAAAATGATTGTAGCTAAAGATGATTAGCTTCGTAATTATAGCAACGGAATTTTAATTATCCGTGGTTATAGTGATAAATAGCTTTTTAGTAATTATAGCCACAGAATTATAGCTCAACTTTTAACCACGACAAGTGGTCCGTAGCTAAAGCTCAACTTCTACTTTTGTAACTTATAACCACGGATGCATTATAACCGTGGCTATAAATGTCTTTTAGCCATAGACAATAACTTTTAACCATGAACAAAATATCCGTAGCTAAAGCTCAACTTTTTGCCACGGACATCAAATTGTCTATTTGTTATATCCCATGTTTTAGCTACGGTTTTTTTACTGTAGCTAAAGTGCCGTAGCTATAACCCCATTTTCTTGTAGTGATTGGATTGGACCAATCCAGTTCAAAATATTTATTAGATTGGATTGGACTTGGTCTGTCCATAACAAATTTATGTTGGATTAAGCCAATATTTGGTCTACTGATATAAGATAAGAATATGTGTCAATGGACCGGGTTCGAGTTGAAACCAATCTAAATCAAAATGAATTTGAACAGATTGGACGGTCTAGACATTGAATTGGACCGGTCCAAATTGGTCCAAAACATTCATTGGAATTGGATTGGACCTGGTCCATTTATAATAGACTCACATTGGACTGGATCGGGTTGGACCAAATCCAATCCAATTGACACCCCTACATAGGAGGAATTAAGGAACTTAGGTCCCGTTTGGTTCGTAGGAATAGAGGTCTGGAATCGAAATCGGAATAGGGCTAATCCGATTCCAACTGTTTGGTTGGACGGAATCGGAATCCCATTTCCATTCCTACTAGAATTAATGGTATTTTTCCTCCCCCTTCCTTGGGAATGAAATCCCATTCCTGCTGATTTCAATTTCCATTTCCATTCCTATCTGATCCAAACAGACTATGAAAATGTTCGATGAATTTTGATTCCAAATCTGATTCCAATTCTAACTGCAAACCAAACGGACCCTTAGATTTGTGAGAGGAAATGCTCTAATGCCTTTTAGGAAGGCATAGTATTTCTTTTGCCTTCGGTGTATCATATTCTTATCATGTGTGGTTGTAGGCTTGTACCCTTTGTGTATTTGTTCCTTAAGCTCGGTTTGTTTAATTGCAGTATGAGTGTCATTTGCACTGGTGTAACTGTAAATGCACGTGGAGTACAAATATTTTTAAAATGGTGTGACTTTATTTTTTGCTTTAGATTTGACTTTATTTTTTATTTGTGAGAAGTAAAATGGTGTGGTCCCCAAAAGAGAGTGCAGGAAGCATTTCCACCAAAAAAAAGGGGGTAGGAAGCAAGATGCTATGGCCCCCATTTTATATGAGATGATAATTGAGGTGGAAAGAAGCAGGTGTAAATTTTGTATCAAATCTTAAAAAGCAAAATTTGCACTGCCAGGAAATGCAGGGCAGATGAAAAAGAGAAACTAAGTTTATAAGAGTTCAAATCATAATTACAAACAAATAGATACAATCATCTAAAACTGCACCAGATGAAAAATTTGTATCCAGTTTAGATTTACACTGCAAAAGAAAGAGAGCCCACAACTTTCTTCTTTTCTATTTTGCATTTTCATTCATTATAAATACATTATTTTTCATGACAAAAAGAATATATAAATTAGGGTAAAATATAAAAACCTCCCTGAGGGTTTGATAATCATAAAAACCTCCCAAGATTCACTTCAACAAAAACCTCCTCTATAGCATTAAAAAAACCTGCAGTTACCTCCCTTTTCTTATTATCTTGGACAGAAAACATTGGTCTAATGCGTTAGTTTTTCAAAAGTACCCATTTTACCCTTATATGAAAATTTATTAAAATACCCCTAAAATAATTTTTCACATTTAACTAAAAAATCACTGAATTAGATTGGAAAGAATAAAGTTATTTTACTTTATAAAATGTTAGGTCTAATAAAATTTGGAAGGGCATATATAGAATTTTGAATTATATTGAAATATACCCTATTAAGTTGTAAGTGTAATTTTATAACTTTGAAGTCTCCATTACCAGGAAAAAGATAAAGATGGGAGGAAGGTAACTGTAGGTTTATATAAAGCCATAGGGGAAGTGTTTGTAAAAGTGAAACATCAGGAGAAGTTTTAATGATTATCATAAACTTCAAGGGAGGTTTTTATATTAGACTCCAACATCAAACCATCAACAGCGTGCAATTTTCAACCCAAACCTTTGATTTTTTAAAACTCACTTTTCTTTTTTCAACTAACCTTGTCAGGTATACTTGGATTGGATGAGCTTTATTTTCCTCTCTCCGCAGAATTACATACTTCAAGGAGAGAGAAAAAATTTGAGGAAGGGAAAAGCTCACTAGGTCATGGTTTACTGGTTTACCCACCAATTAGATAGTTTAAATCATGGTTTTTGAACCGTTATTGACTCAGATGGTAGGACCGTTCAGCCAGAAAACCATCCAAATAGTTGGTTCTGTTTCATCCTTAACCTGTTCTTTGGCCAAAAACCATTCTTTTCTTTTTAAATTGGAACAAGTCATTTGTTCAAATTAAATAATTGAACTGCTGACCCAGAAACCGATGGCCAAAGCGGTTTCGAGTCTGAGTCAATTTTTAAAACATTGGTTCTAACTGTAAAAATCATTAATCACTCAATTGTCCGACCTGGTTTGAGCCTGATTAAAACATATTATTATTATTATTCTTATTATTATTATATAGCATAATATATGTATATA